TCAGTTGACTTCGAGCTGGACAATGCAACAACTTCCAAGGGTGCTTGAGGTTCTTTTGAGCTTGCCTGAGGTCCAATGAAGCTTTCCCAATGCTTGGCTTGTTTTGAAGTAGCCTGAATCGTGCTACAGAACTCAACCTGCAAAGCTTTGAAACAAAAATGGCAATGTGTGTTAATGGTGTTACAGCTAGCAATGGAGGTATGGAATAGTTCATGTGAGTTGAATGGAAGGTATTGGAACAAATTTGAGGCAAAACGCGCGAGGGAAAGTGGAGATGGAGGTGGTTCTGCAGGGCTTGCCCTATTTTGCAGAAAAACAGTGATTTTGTGTACAAGGAGGTTTAAGTGGTGAAGGGCTCGTGTTTATGACTCAAAGGGTTGTGTCAAATGTGTTTGCAATGTTTTTGTAAGCTGGCTATGGATGGTTCTTGAGTTTTGAAGATTTTGGACAAATTTCTTATTTTTGAAGCAAGAGTGTGTAACTTGTCAATACATGCCTGTAACCCCTATATTGTATGCTGCATCCCTTTTTTCTTGATACTTGCAATTTGTGGACTTGATCTTGCCTCAGAAATATGACCCCATGCCTCAAAGATCTTGGTTTGACATAAAGTATAGCTTTTCAAAAATGGCAATATACCTTTTTCCAAATAGGGATTAGTTTTGTGTGCAATGTCCAAATGGCCAAGATAATGCATTATCTTAGTGGATTTTCATTCAATTAAGGAGTGTAAAATGGTTTAGAGGCCTGCAAGCTAGTACAAAGCATGCTGATTTGAAAATGCAAGTTGTATGAACATGTATTGGCCATGGATCAAAGTGAGTTTTTCCCAACTTCAAGCATTCGATTCTCCCTAACCACAAAGGTGTTTGAGGAGTTCTTGGACAATTTGGAAATCTTGCAACATGTACAACAATCCATCTTTGAAATGCAACTTGAAACTCCAAGTGGAACTATGTGAAAAATGACCAAGAAGATGGGTCAAAATCCTGCCTATACTAAGGCAAAAATTTTCGAAGTTAAAAGTTTTAGGTACCCTTGTTCCAAAAATTATAACTTGAGATACAAGCTTCTTTTGAGAAAACTTTGTGAATCAAAGTTGTAGACTTTGTGTTGGACTACAACTTTCATGTTGCAAGTTTTGTCTGAATCCGTTTGCATCTTGGTGAAAAAATGGGACAAAGATAGGAAAAAATAAGAAAATTTTATAAGTTAGAAAAATTCTAAGTTATGAAATTTTTCCATTTTAAACCCTAATTTGCATTTTTGGGTTTCTTGATGAACAAGTTTCATAATTTGACATGTCTTGATGAAAAATGACCTTTGGCACTTGATTTTAACCAAAAAGTCAAAGTTTGACTTTTCAGTATACAGTCAAATTTTGATCAGTTGACTGAAAAATTCATCTATCAATCCTATGCATTTGAGATCTTTTGAACTTGTTGAATGGGTCAAGACAATGTAATTGAGTCCTTGATTCCATGGTTGAGCTTTATTTGCCATTGGCTAGGTCAAATAGTCAAAAAATTCCTTTGTACAGTCAAAACCCTAAAAATGACCATTTTGCCCTTTTGGTGATCTGATCAAATTTCTTGTGGAATTGTGATCCAAACTTGGTCAAATGGTTCATATGAGTTCATAATGTTGATATGGGTCAAAACTCATGAGGTTTGACTGTCAATTGGCCACAGTTGACTTTTCCCTAATATAGTTGATTTCTAGGTCAACTGTCCAATTGACTGGGCAAAAATTTGAATCAAGGCTTGAAACTTGGTATGGACAAACTTGTGAGTCCAACATGAAGTATGAAAGTCACTTTGGGTATTGTAGGTCAAAACATCACTGTGCAAACTCAAACCCTAATTTAGGTCAACAATGCAAGGAGGTGTCTTGAGCAGAGCAAACCCTAGCTTGACCTTGACTTCCAAGATCCTTTTGATGAGAAATGTTGATGAAATGAGAGGGAAAATTTTGGGGTACAACAGCTGACCCTGTTCAATCTTCTTGAACCTGAAGAGTTCGATTGGCAAGTTTGCCTTTCTTGACTCAAAGGTAAAAAAGGATTGGACACTAGAGTGCCCGTAAATTTGCACTCGTCAAAACATAGACAAGGGAATGGGATTAAAGATGCCATTTGGAGATGGTAGAATCCTTCTGGAGATGGGCTTAAAGATTCCATCCAAGAATGTTTGTTGAATTGCAATGTGGTAGGTCAGAAGAATGAGCATTAAAATGGTATCCATGTATGGAATGCATTTGAACTGTATCTGGAGACTGAGTCTGTATGAGCGAAAGAATGGCATCCGTGTCTGGAGCGTATCTGAGCTGTAACTGTATTTGAGTTTTGAATGAATATCAGAATGATTGCCGTGTCTGGAGTGTATCTGTATTGTATCTGAATTCTGAATGGACGACAGAGAAACATCTGTGTATGGAGCATCTCTGGGCTGGGGATAAATTCCGAATGAGTGACAGAATGGCAACCGTGTCTGGAGCATATCTGGACTGTATCTGAAGTTGAGATCTGTATGAGTAGCAGAATGACTTCCGTTTCTAGAGTGTATCTGAGACTATAACTGGGATCTGAGTAAGTGACAGAATGACTTCCGTGGCGATTGCACTGGGGAGAATCAAACTGCTAGTGTAAGGGCCAGAATGGCATCCGTGTTTCGAGCGTATCTGAACTTGTGGTTGATAGTTGAATCTGAATGAGAGATAGAATGGCTATCGTGTCTGGAGCATATCTAGTCTGTATCGGAGTGCTGAAGTCTGAATGAGTGGTAGAATGACTTTCGTGTCTGGGGTGTATCTGTACTGTATTTGACTTGAAATTATGAATGAGTAATGGAGTGACCGCCGTGTCTGGGATGTACCCATATTGTATCTGAATAATTGTTAACGATAGCCTTTTAATCTTATCCTGAAAAGGGTAAGATGTTAGCTAAAACACAAAGTTATGTTTCATGATATGTATGATGCAATGAACTGTATTTCATCAATGTTTATGATATATGAATGTAATGGATGCGCATGTAAGCTGAGTAGCTGTCTTACTGAGGAAAATAAATCCTTGATAACTGGAGATAATGAAATCTTTGATTGCTGTCGGGGAAAGTAAATCCTTGACCAATGTTGGGGATTCCAAAAATATTTGAATACTGATGATGAGAAATCCTTCCTGACTACTTGGGGATTAAAGATCTCTGATTGTTGAGAATGAGAAATCCTGGGACCACTGCTGGAGATTGAAAATCCTCGGCGATTTGTGGGGATTCACAAGGCCTTTGACAATTTCTGCAGGGAATGAGAATCCTTCATGACTTTCCTGGGAAATAGGGAAAACTCTAAAATCTCTATTGGGGAGTTATAACCTAGGAGGCTTCTGCTTGGAGAAATGAGACTGAGATTCTTCGATCTTACTGGGAGATAACTCTGTGGGAAAATGTTCACTATTCTGGCTCTGCTGGGGATATGATTTTCAAGGTTTTCGGGCTCCACTGGGGATCTTGAAGCTTAACTCTGATGGGAATTTTGAAACTTAACTCAGCTGGGGAATCAAGTTTTGGAATGCACTGGCTCTGCTGAGGATCTTGAAGCTTAACTCCGTTGGGGAAATCACTACAAGAAAATTGGCAGATTGCGACAGGTATTTTTGTAGATTACGACGGTTAAAACCGTCGCAATTTGCTTTCCACGACGGTTGCTTTACCGTCGCAGAAGTGTGTGTCCCCAACCTATTTCGCGACGGTTACAAAAACCGTCGTTCAAGTTTACGACGGGTTGATACCGTCGTGACTATCTTTTGAGTTTCTTTTAATTATTGGTGGCGACGGTTCGATACTGTCGTGAATATCTTTTGAAATTGATTAAATTGTTTATGGAGACGGTTCGATACCGTCATGACTTTTGTTGATTATTTTTAATTGTTGATTACGACGGTTCGGTACTGTCGCCATGACTTTTGTTTATGTCTTGATTTTTTTTTTCTATTATATATATTTTTTATTTAAATTATTATCTATGTAAAAAATTTTAAATATAGTTTTTTTTTGTGTTATTTTTTTCTTTAAATTATTTCTTCTTTAATATATTTATTTATAGTATTATTTTTTGTTTTATTTTCTATCACTTTGTAATATAGTAAAAATAATTTCAATAAAAAATATTTAACATCAAATAAGCATTATAATATCCAAAAAAATGTGTGTTCCATAATCATGTAAAATGCGAGTTCCATAATCATGTCAAGTAGTACAAAAAACCCAAAATATATCAATTCCTAATCTTATAATAATAAGTATCATTATGCCAAAAATACATGAGAAAGTTCACAATCTAATTATCTCGATCATAGCAAAGTCTAATTTGTCCCCCCTGAAGTTCCATTATCTCCAATACGGTAGCTAGACTCAGATGAACGTCTACCATCAGCGGGTGATTCCAATCCCTAAAAAAAGGTATTAAAATAATTATCTTTAAAATAATACTCATAAAATTTAACTTTAAATGCGTCAAAATAATATACCTGTCTTCCACTAAAATTCTGTGTTTGCATTAAGAGTTCAATTTCCTTTGTCCTCGCCTTGTCCCTTTGCGTTAAGAATATGATTGCCTGTGTTAATTCATCAATTTTTGAATTCTTTTCTTTAAGTGCATTAATTTCTTCTTGCATTTCCTTTATTTGTTCACTTTCTGCAGAAGAAGATGTCGATCTCGTAGATCTATTAATTTGAGATGGTGTAACTCCAAGTCCCATACTACGAACATTCCATGCTTTTCTTTTCCAAATACTTTCTGAAATGCCTCATTTTCAGACACAGAATCCTTAATTGCAGCTTGTAAAAATAATTATCAGTAAAAATAATTAACAACTGAACCATGTGAATGCAAGTCAAGCCAAAGAGTGTAAACCTGTAGAGTTGCACACTGGAATTTCCTACTCAATGCATCAGATACACTGATATCTATCTTTGGTCCATAGAATGCACCATCCCCTTCATTCAACTGCAGAGTTTTATTTGGATTATAAGCACATAATTGAAGTTAACAAATGATGCATTACATTGAAAATAATAAAACAGATATACAAAAAATAAAAGAATGTATGAGAATATAAAAAATAGTATCAAGAAACATATAATTGAATTCAAAACATGAAAAGCATATACCTGTCATGGCTTGCCAAACTCATCCAAAGCCTCCTTGAGAGCACTTTCAGCCCTATCCCACGTTTCATCATCTCCAAGCTTATTCTCTGGCCTCTACTCAAGTATTTAACACAGGCAAGGCAAAATAAATAACTGAGTCATTAAATAGATTAAACCAATTACTAACAGCAGAGTCTGCCAAGCTTATCATGTACTACTATATCATGTATCAGAAGAAAAGAAAATAACAAGAAAGCTAGTTCTTTGTATTGAGGCCATATTCCCAATTATTAACTGTTCCTACTAATGTTATTTATTCACAAACTTCATCATATTTCAAACCATAGAGAAGTGTTCCTAGTAATGTTATTTATTAAACATATAAACAAAACATGTACCATAGGAAGAGAAAGACTGGTAAGATACGATCAAAATGATCTATATCAGATGACGCTCTTAGAAGGAATAATTGCAACAAAGAAACAAATAATGAAATTATCAAATCAGAATTAACTTACATTGCAGACAAAACATATAGCGGCAGTTGTTTCCAAACTATTAAACAGATTTATCAGCATCTCTTTTGGAAGCCTTTTTGCCATTTCAACAGAATCTTTTCCAACAGGATTAGAATTGTATTCTTTAACAAGAAGTGGGTGATCACAAGCCTGACGGAGACGTAAAAGCATCAAAAGAATATTTGCATAGTTTTGATTCACTGTACGGCAGCTTGTATAGAGATCTCTGGAAGACTGATAAATCATCCATGTTCAATACCCCACTGTCAAAGCATAAAAAAAATGTAGTTCAGGCTACCTGTAGTACTGCAACCCGATTCTCCATGGAATGAGCATTGCTTCTCCAAACAACTTCTTGCTGACTTGTTGGCAAATGATGAACTCCCACTGGCATGAATTTCCTCATCAGAAAGTAATCCATGGTCATAGGTACAAGGCTCTCTCAAACTACAAGCTTTATCTAGCATTGCATGTCCCGGTTCACTTCCTGTAAGAACATGAGAATCAGCTGTGCTCTCTAACACGGGAGAAATTTTTTCAAGGTTGATCTTCTTCTGGCAGCCATCTTGTAGATCCAGAGACTGAAAGAGGAAAAAAGGGATTAAAAAGCCTGATTATAAGGAGGAAGTTACAATACATAAATACAATGGTGACACTAAATTGGAATTTATCTCTGACCTGTCTAGGAGTAGTAGGTGTATTTTGCAGAGTTCTACATTTATATGTTTCATCAGCATTAGTGTGAAAGCTCCAACCACGTAAATGTATAGAACGATGCAACTCATTCACAAATGAGGCCTCTAAAGAACTCAGATATAATTTATGCAGTTGATCTGTCCATCGTCTAGACTTGTCCTGGTACAAAATTTTGAATTAGGTATATCCTTGCCAACTAAATGAAATGAAAATAAAAGCTTCTAAATTCACAAGCAATCAAAAACAAGGTCCAAGGACGGACACAATTTATTAAGCAAAGACACGTGGAAGACAGGGTGTGTCTTTGCTGTGGCTGGTTGCTGCAGCTTGTAAGCCACCTCTCCAATTCTAGCTAGCCAGCAACATAAATGGACCATAATAACGTGGAGCGAACTTGGGACTGATGCGCACCTCTACTGACTGCTGAACACGCGGATGCAATTTCAGGAAAACCCAATCACGAACTTGAAACTACATCATTCCTGTGAGCATCAGCTAAAGGTTTCATTCTAACTTGAGCACGGTGCAAATGAAATTTCAATTGGCGTAAGCACTCATCAAGATCCATTAAATCCCTTCAATCAACAATATGTAGGTTTTTTCAGTTCATACCGTTGAAAGTTTCAGTTCATATGTGAAACCAAATATTTGATAGACATAATCAATGAAGTCCAAGGCTTTTCTCACTTCATCTTTAACCTGCAAAATGAATTAATAGAATAATTTCAGCTTCAGCTTAAAAGATATCATAAAAATTATATTACATAAATTTACGTTAACACACCTGGGACTCCCTGCAGAAAATATGTGCATCATCCTGTCCAACACACAAAGTAAAGGGCATAAACAATACAGAACTAATAGTATAGAAAATAGAAGTTAAAGACAAGGTGATAATCAGTCAAAATAGCTTGCAATGTTCCTCCTATTGTAATTGTACCATACCTTTAGATAAATGAAGAATATCATCATGAGAAGAGAAAATTTGATAATTTATCTACACTAACTCACATCCACATAGGGAATATAAGAGTGGCTTCGCTTGGTGGTAGGGTGGAGGAGATAAGGACGGGAGTGAAAAGGAGGTTGGAGGTCTGATCCCCATCCAAACATAAAACTAACATTTTTTGTTTTAAAAAATACTACCATTCACACCATAAATACAACCCCACAATTGGGGTGCTCCAATATTTACAATAGAAGCAACTATAAATGTAATCAAGATAAAACAAATAAAACTGGTCCCTTCCACAGTTCCAACAAAGATTTACCTGCTGAAATCTCCTAACACGTGTTAATCCACTTAGGGCACCACTGGCCTCATTTCGATGCAAAACCCCAAAATCAGCAAAACGAAGAGGAAGTTCTGCAAAACCATAACAATGTTGTGAGATGATATTTTATACAAAAAACATCAGCTCTACCTAAAAATATCCAAACAAAAATGGAAACTAAATTATCTCTACCTCCCATCGCACCAAAATTATAATTTTTAGTCTATTTCCAGTTCAATTTTTGGACATGATTGAAAAATTCTTGCTCTTTATCCCAAAATGATTCTATATGGAAGAATACAGCTTATTAATAAACCAATTCCTTGAGCTATATGTGAATATGTAAGTAAGAGGGAAGATGAGACCATGTAAAATAACACTGGACAGGTATTACTCAATTTAGGCATATTCAAATGAAAATGTTAATCCATTAACCAAGTAGCTCAAACAGATGCATTATCCTGATTTCAACAATATATTCTGGACTAGCTCAGCCACCATAAGTATAGAAATAAAAGATGTTATTTAAAAACATATGTTTATGCAAATGAAAATTACCTCTATATGAACGAACTCTGTGTTTAAACATCAAGCAGTGTCCTGGGCAATTCATTGGTTTCAATCCAAATTCTTGTTTGTCAACCTAAAACACACAATATTTATAATTTGGATAGATAAATTAATTGTGTTCAAAATAATCAACCTATTATGAAGGTTTTGTAGAAAAATTCTTCAAAAAAAATTATCATACTAATACTTCTCCATTTCGCTCTTAAAAACTATCTACAAACAGCGACATATTTAATCTAATAATCAAATCAAACCTTAAAACAACAAATTAGAAAACCTAAAAAATCATAAAAAGAAATAAAACCCTAAAACAACAAATTAGAAAACCTAACATCAATTCAATATATTCAAACTCAAAATCAATCATCACAAAGAGCTCAACCATAAAATTACCTGGAAAACACCCTTATCAACCTTGCATTTTAAAATGCCATTGACCTTTAAGGCATAGAACAAATCCTTGAGAGAGGACGACGACCCGAGATTTTCCACTACCTTCCGACAAGTGGTTATGCTCACATCAGGCTTATTCTCAAGCGCAAGAATCTCAAATACTCTTAGAGCATCACAGGCTTCTTCTAAACTGATAAGATAACAAGAACAAAAATGAATTTTCCTACTCAGCCATCTAACATATAATTTCAACATACTACTGCAAACCTAAAATATTAATTGACAACAAAACTTATCTAAATAACTAGTGTTTGATAACAATTGAACATGATATAATTAATTAATATTTGATTAATTAAGGGTTGAATCGACCTTGAAGAGGAACCATCGAAGAGTTGTAAAGCAGCGGAACAGTGAGAATCGGAAATCGGACTTGGATTCGTGACGGCGTTGCAGATCGAAATAGTGAAAAACAGTATGAGAAATTTGGCTAGGTTTATGGCCATTTCTGCAGCTATGAATCTATGAATGCAAATTGCATTTACGATAGGTTAGGGATTTGAGAAATGAGATCGAGAATTACGAGATACGCGAAGAAACGACTTGTGCGAGTGAGTCTGTGTGTTTTTGGTGCAACTGAACTAGTATCATCACTGGCTCTTGATCATCTAGCCATCTTTTCAAACAACGAATCGCCGCCAGTCGCTGTCGTCACGGTGCTTCCGGATTCTCTGAATGCAGGAGTAGAAAGTGAATTGATGTTTTAAGAGCTTTTTAACTTTATTACGGCGACGGGTGTTTTACCGTCGTGCCCATGAGAATTTTTAAAGGTTTTGGGTGCGACGGTTGTTTTACCGTCGTGAAATGAATTTTAGGACGGATAATTTTACCGTCGTGAAAGGTTTAAGGGTGCGAAGGGTGCTTTACCGTCGTGATATGCCTTTTAGGACGGTTAATTTTACCGTCGTGACTAGTTGTTGGTGAAAAATCAATGTTAAAAGTGTTAAATGGGGGCCGACGGTTGTTTTACCGTCGTAATAATAATATTATGATGGTTAAATATACCGTCGCAAAATAAATATTAGGGACGGTTGGTGTCAACTGTCGTAAACAATGTCTCTATATGTCAATTACGACAGTTATCACATAACTGTCGCAATTTTTGTGTCGTTAAACACTAATTTTCTTGTAGTGAATATACTCCAAATTTGAGCTTTGTTGAGGATCTGAATGATGTATCGTAGGGGATTTCTTCTGAAATAGCACAAAGATTTCTTCCTAGACCTTCAACCTATCAGTAATTACCCTTTTTCAAATTCATTTTATTTGTAAGTAATGATTATATTCAAATGCATATGCCTATTTAACAAAACATTGGAAGTTTTCAAATAAAACATAAGTGTAAAAAGAAAAGAAAGGCAAGCAAAATTCCGCACTTTGAAGTGTATTTGTATTTAACTTTGTGAGTATCTTTGTACAAAGGAGACAGACATCCTAGTAAGAGAATGTTGTCATAAAAATTGAAAAATTTTATACAAAAGAAAGATGACTATGTGTAATAATTCCATGGGATTCCCATTCTGCTATAGCCTTCACAACTCTGAATATCTTGTCCATTCGCTGCTTCGTCAGCCGATGACTGGATTGATCAGAAGCTTGGAGCTTGTTGGTGAAGAGGTTGTTCTTGAAGTGATCCGACGAGACATAGTCATACGCTTTAATTCCCTAACTTTTGCCTGGACCTCCCTTTCGGGTTTTCGATCCACCGGGAAACCCATTTTTTCCCAAGTCACCCTTTCGGGTTTTCAACTTGCCGGGTGTACAGATTTTTTTGTTTTATCCCTAATTTTTGCCTGAACCGCCCTTTCGGGGTTTCGATTCACCGGGATGCCCATTTTTTGCCCAAGTCTCCCTTTCGGGTTTTCAACTTGTCGGGTCGTTTTATGCGTAGTATCTTTTGACTATGTCTGCGTTCGTAGGGTGCGGCAAGTCGTCGCCGTCCATGGTGGTCAGAATCATTTCCCCACCAGAAAAGATGCTCTTGATCACAAATGGTCCTCCGTAAGTAGGAGTCCACTTGCCCCTGGGATCACTTTGCGGCAAGATGATCCGCTTGATTACAAGATATCCGACTTGATATACCTGACGCTTGACTTTCTTGTTGAAAGCCTTGATCATCCATTTTTGATACGTCTGACCATGACAAACAGCAGTAAGTCGCTTCTCGTCGATCAAATTAAGTTGATTATGCCGGGTCTGAATCCAATCGTCTTCACTCAAACCGGCATCCTTCATAATCCTCAAGGAAGGAATCTGAACTTCCATAGGCAAAACAGCTTCCATGCCATACACCAAAGAAAATGGGGTTGCCCCTGTTGAAGTACGTGTCGTGGCACGATATCTATACAGAGCAAACGGTAACATCTCATGCCAGTCCTTGTAGGTGACTGTCATCTTTTGAATGATCTTTTTATTCGCGGCTTCAACAGCACCGTTCATCTTCGGCCGATAGGGAGATGAATTGTGATGATAAATCTTGAACTGTTCACATAGAGCGGTGATCATAGTGTTATTCAAATTTGTACCATTGTCTGTGATGATCTTGTCGGGGATACCATACCGGCATATGAGGTTCTGCTTGATGAAGCGGGCAACCACATTCTTTGTAACTGAGGCATAAGAAGCTGCCTCGACCCACTTGGTAAAATAGTCAATAGCCACCAGGATGAAGCGATGTCCATTGGATGCCGTGGGCTTGATCTCTCCAATCATGTCGATGCCCCACATTGCGAATGGCCAAGGAGCTGTCAGAACGTTGAGAGGAACAGGAGGAATATGTACCTTGTCAGCATAGATTTGGCATTTGTGGCAAGTACGGGCATGTTGATGACAATCAGCTTCCATGGTAGACCAGTAGTAGCTTGCCCTTAGAATCTTCTTAACCATCGTATGTCCGCTCAAGTGGGTGCCAAATGTGCCACTGTGTATCTCGGTCATGATTAACTCTGCTTCAGCTTTGTCCATACAACAAAGTAGAACACAATCATGGATGCGCTTATAAAGGATGCCATTGCTTAGGAAGAACTTGGCAGAAAATCTCCTTAAGAACTTTTTGTCATTGACAGAAGCTCCTTCAGGGTATTCTCTAGTCTGGAGATACCTTTTGATTTCATGAAACCAGGGTTGTTCCACTACTTCTTCGGTATTAATATCATGACAATGCGCAGGTTCGTCCATTTGCTCGATGGTAATTTGGGGAGCCTCGTTATCCCAGTTGAGTTTAAACATGGAAGACATTGTAGCCAGGGAATCTGCTAGCTGATTTTCTTCTCGCGGGAAGTGCTCGAAAGTAATCTGCTCGAAATGAGGCAACAACGTCAAGACATGTTCCTTGTATGGGATAAGATTAGGATGCTTGGTGTCCCATTCTCCTTTGACTTGACTGATAACCAAAGCCGAGTTCCCAAATACGACCAAAGATTTGATTCCCAAGTCTATAGCAGCCTTGAGACCAAAGATGCAAGCTTCATATTCAGCCATGTTATTGGTACAGCTAAAGCAAAGTCAGGCAGTGAAGGGTGTATGGCAACCTTCCGGAGAAATGAGTACCGCACCGATACCGTTGCCAAGTGCATTTGAAGCACCATCAAAGTACAGGGTCCATCGGGATCCTTGTTCAGGTCCTTCATACGGTCGGTTACCTTCAATGTTGTCCAATGTCAAGATGTCCTCGTCAGGGAAGTCGAATCTCATAGATTGGTAATCTTCGACGACTTGATGAGCTAGATCGTCAGCTAGTACACTCCCTTTTATAGCTTTTCGGGTAGTATACTAGATATCATACTCAGTCAGGATCATTTGCCATCTAGCGATTCTTCCAGATAAAGCAGGCTTCTCGAAGATACACTTGATCGGATCCATTTTGGAAATCAGTAAAGTGGTGTGAGTCAACATATACTGCCTTAGCCGGCGAGCAGCCCATACCAAAGCGCATCAAGTTTTCTCGAGCAGTGAGTAGCGAGTCTCACAGTCGGTAAACTTTTTGCTAAGGTAATAAATGGCATGCTCTTTTCGGCCAGACTCGTCATGTTGGCCCAACATGCACCCCATTGAGTTATCCAAAACAATCAGATACATCATTAACGGCCTTCCTTCGACGGGTGGCATCAGAATAGGAGGTTCTAGCAAATACTCCTTGATCTTATCAAAAGCAACTTGACAATCATTGTTCCATTCAACCACCTGATCTTTCTTCAACAGCTTGAAGATTGGCTCACAGGTAGATGTCAGGTGAGAGATGAACCTGGCGATATAGTTTAAGCGTCCCAAGTATCCTCTAACCTCCTTTTCAGTACGGGGAGCAGGCATTTCTTGTATAGCCTTTACTTTAGCTGGATCAACCTCAATGCCTTTGTTGCTGACAATAAATCCCAAAACTTTACCAGACCTAACCCCAAAAGTGAACTTGCTCGGATTCAGTCTGAGCTTATACTCCTTCAACCTGACAAACAACTTTTGCAGATGATCAAGGTGTTCTTCTTCTGTCTGTGATCTAGCTATCATGTCGTCTACATAAACTTCGATCTCATGATGTATCATATCATGAAACAAAGCTACCATGGCGCGTTGATAGGTTGGCCCTGCATTCTTCAGTCCGAATGGCATCACTTTGTAGCAGAAGGTACCCCATTGCGTGACAAAGGTTGTTTTCTCCATGTCCTCGGGGGCCATTTTGATCTGGTTGTATCCCGAGAATCCATCCATGAAGGAAAAAACCTTGTGTTGAGCTGTGTTGTCAACCAAGATGTCGATATGCGGTAGTGGAAAATCATCTTTAGGGCTAGCCCTGTTCAAATCCCGATAGTCCACACACATTCTGACTTTGTCGTCCTTCTTAGGCATGGGCACGATGTTAGCAACCCATTGTGGATAGGAAGTAACAGCCAAAAAGTCAGCGTTGAATTGCTTCATTACTTTAGCCTTGATTTTCTCAGACATTTCAGGCCTCATCCGGCGGACCTTTTGTTTGATCGGTGGACAATCCTCTCTTGTAGGGAGACGGTGAACCATGATATCTACGTCTAACCCTGGCATGTCTTCATAAGACCAGGCGAAGATTTCAACATATTCGTTCAACAATTGCACTAAGTGCTCTTTGACACTCGGTTCCAGGTTGGCACCCACTTTTACCTCTTTCCTGTCTTCCTCTGTCCCCAAGTTGATGGTTTCTAGAAACTCTTCATGAGGCAGAATAGCCCTCTCTTCTTGTTGCAAAAGTCTGGCTAACTCTCCCGGCACTTCACAATCTTCGTCAACTTCGTACTCAACATGATTGACCAAATCTTCAGAGTTATCGAAGGCTAAAGCAGAATAGTCACCCATGGAATCCGGAGTGGATGGGTACCTGCATTTGTGAGTGTGGGTGTGTGTAAGGGATAGCCATCCTTAAACAAACAAAAATGCAAAAGGAAAGAAAATGAACACAACAGTTTATAGATGAAAAACG